CAGTCGCTTTAACACCGCCAGATGTAGGTACATGCTAAAAGCACAGATACGCGTCTTGTCTACGCGCCTGGAGCTGTGAGGGATCCTTAGCCAGAAGGGATCCTTAACTCTGCGCTTTTGGATTCTGAGCGCGGTCGTTGATTGATTAATCGTCGTTGGCCCGTCTTAAACCAGCTACGTGTTTTGCATGAGATTGCATTTGGCGATGACTGGGAAAAATACAAGTCACGAGCTCTCACTACCACAACAAAAATAGAAAAAAAAAGTAGTGATAAGAGCAGACTCTTCATTGCTGCTGACGCAAGCGATTTTCCCCATGTTTCTTATAAAGTCAACGACAAGAAGCCCAAACGCACTCATCACCGCCATGTTTCACTTTCAGAGCGCTCTCCTGGTGCTTGTTTTAGCAGGTGAGTGTACATTTTCGGGCTCCGTTTTGGCCTGCATGTAAACGGGAATCTAAGCTATTTCCACACAGACGATTTCCACAGTATCCTGTTATGCAGACGCAGTTTATTTTGCGACTGCCAAAACTTACATTGGTGAAGAACAATTTTTGTTATAAAGGCATAGCATAATTGCGGTTGAATAGTTGGCAGCCTAGAACCACAAACGTTTCCTACCAAAGGCGGTTTTGTTAACGGTGAAAAATTCAAGACTTAACGCACTACTGCCTGGTGAGGGTCAGTGCAAAAAAAGAAGATTATGTGGAAAAAAAACTCGATTTCAGTATTTTTTTTACAAAAAGTCTTTTTGCTTAGTCTGCTAATGGAATCATTTAATGTAAAGTAAAACTCCCCTCGTTCCTCATTGCGTTGCGTCATTTTACTTTGACAAGTATGACCCAATTGATTTGCCCGAAAATACTATCTCAGGACCACTAGAACGAAGGTCGGCAATTCGCATACATTGGCTATCAAGAAGCCTCATCAACTCGGAAACCTTGTTGAGGAGGTTTCTTTAAGACATTGCGCAGATGCTGTTAAACATCCTTAGTCCAATCCCAGCTTGTCGTGTTAATTAAATTGCAACGAGTAGGTTATTTGGTTCGCATGCCTGAGGACCAAATCACTGACTCTCAGTTATTTTTGGATTCGGCTTTACCACTGATAATTCGCCACAGTAATTATTAGTGAAAGTACAGTGAGTGACCGATCTCATGAAATGTTAGCTGGAATTCTGAAATGCGTTTTCGATTAGGAAGAGTTACTTGGTTGCGGTTGTAATACTGATTATCTTACGGCATAATCTTATAACATTTCGGACTCGGCACGATGTCAGCTTTTGAATGCACTGCTATTCAATCTCCTGTAGAAATGTACTCGGCAAGAAAGGACTTCTTAAGTTGCATGCATTTTCCCCATTGATTGTCGATGGTCTCGCAAATTCAAATATGTCTTATAGAAACCACAAACAAAAATACGCTTTCTTTTAGTCAATTATTAGAAAATCACGTCTTCTTTATGCAGTCTCCCTTGTCTTTGTTGGTAATATTATTCTGTCTTCTTTACAGTTTATACTCAAGGATGGAGTATAATTAAGTTTTTAAAAAGTTTCTTATTAGGAGATTTTTAAGACCGCGCAATGCCCATTCACATAGCATCGTACCTGTCCGTTTACCACTGCTCCTCATGAAATGTACAGCATAGTCCGCATCCATTGCAAAATTATAGGGACTCTGTATGACATCTTTTTAATTGCACGGAAAAATATGTCATTTTCTTTATGCGGAACGTATGCACCTTGTAGACTGAAATCACTAAGAGCTAATGCAACGAATGATCAGGCTTAAAATTATTCGGCGATTAGAAAACATTTGTAAAACCTAATTGTACTCCTTCCTTGAGTAGAAACTGTAAGGAAGGCGTGATTCTCTATTAATTGACTGAGGGAAAGCATATTTTTGTTTGTGGTTTATATAAGGCATATTTGAATTTGCGAGACCATCGACAACCAATGGGGAAAATGCATGCAACTTAAGTAGTCATTTCTTGCCGAGTAAATTTCTACAGGAGATTGAATAGCAGTGCATTCAAAAGCTGACATCGTGCCGAGTCCGAAATGTTATAAGATTATGCCGTAAGATAATCAGTATTACAACCGCGACCAAGTAACCCTTCCTAATCGAAAACGCATTTCAGAATTCCAGCTAACATTTCATGAGAGCCGTCACTCACTAATGTTAAAAATCCATTTTTTCGACCCCTAAAACAGTCCTTCTGCTGATAACTTACAGGTTGCTTTACTGTCCTAACGATTTGAAGGAAAAATACTGGCGTGTTGACGCGGCTACTGTATCCCTCTTTGTCTGCTTCTAATACTTCGTCATGCCAACCAACACCTACAAATCAGGAGTTTGGTGAATAACAGTGTGAAAAGTCATCTTCATTCACGTCCTTAGAAAATGACTTTAGAAAAAATTGCAAACTGGTCGGTAGACAAAGTAGGTTGCACAAAAACTCAATCACATATATTGGTGACAGTAGGTGCGCTATCCTGTGAGACGAACACGATACTTAAGCAAGGCTTTTAATAGTAATTATAGTGCGTCATATTCCGAAGAGATTTCAGTCACGACAGGATGCCGGATTTGAATAAGCATCTTTCTAACCGCCCGAACTTTGACGACTTAAGTAGTATGAATTTTCGTATTGATTTTCTATGCCATTATAAATTTAAATATATTTTGCTGAAAATATGCACTAAATGTTTTTACTTGTATTTATTTTGTAGCAAACCATGCTTCCAATGGACTTTTGCTTGAGAAAAGTGCGTCTTTTGGTTTTGAGAACGTCTTCAATCCTCGAATAATATCGAACCCAACTTGTCGTTACACTTGCATTCAGGGTTTCCAAATTGCATGCCATATATTTTACCTGTAAATAATATCATGCATTTCTATACTTTATTAAAAAGACATCATAAAGGACTCGGTAAAATTGTTCGATAGGTGTGGACCATGTTCACTACTTTATAAGCAGCACTAATGAATGAACAGATACGACAATTTATGAACTGTCATTTCACGGTCATAAAAAATCTCCTGATCAGAAACCCTTAAAAACCAGGAAATTCCGCTTTTTAAGCACAAACTTTGAAGAGGACGTAAGGTACCACCAAGTTAGCGTCGGAAAGAATATTTATTTTCCGTTGTCTATAAAGCATATTTGAATGTAGAATGGCATCGAAAAAACGGGAAAAATTAACACTAATTAAGTTTTCATGTTTTATATGCAGCCGGAAAGGAACTTCTTCAAAGGCCAACATAGATTATGCTGCAGTTATGTTGCACAGTTAATAATGCAACTTCACTTAGGTAAACTCTCCAAACCACAAAGCACATTCCAAAATTTTGACTAACATTTCATGAGATAACACATGTGCTAGGTCACAAAAAGCTGCTAAAATATGAAAGACAAATTGCGAATAAAGTGGTTTGACAGGGCCAACACCAAAATTATTTAAATATTAAAATTGAGGTCCTTTACCTTCTGCCGACTACACGCACTCTGTCCATTGGAAAAAACAGGTGGTATAGCGTTATGCTACAGCGGTTACATGAATCACCAATGCACATGTACCGTCTAGGCGCACACTCACACCACACTAAGTCTAGAATCAGACGGATAATCGACAAACACAGGGAACTGGAGTAGGAAGAAATGAAACATTGTGACGTCGGCTATGTGGATCGCGTCCCCAGTGCACAATCCCAGCATAAAGTAAATCGGAACGCATTAAAACAATCCCGGTGCCATAAAAGTCGTTATTTGGAGCGCCGAAAACCTATGAGGTGAATCGGTCCTTTCATCAAAGAGAGACCGGCTGCAATACTTCCTTCAGAATGCGCCGTCTGCGACAATACAAAACTGCTAGGATACGGGCCGCAGCCTGATATCTCTGCGAAAAATCTGTCAATCTTCTGCGGATCAGGAGTGGGAGACATGCGTAGTAGGGAGTATTGACCTTGTCAGACATTGCGCAAAAAATCGACTCCGCTGACTCGGACGCTGAAAAGATAGTGCATAAAAAGTCCGTGAGGAAGATGATGCGCAAGATGAGCGCGACAATAAAAAAATCAAAAGAAGGCAAATACATACGCAAAAAAGAAACCTAAGAGAAAAACTCGAAACACAGACAAACATAGCGCAAGAAAAGATTGTGAAAAGTCACCAAAAGAAGACGCAGCAACAAAAAGAACGCAGAAAAAGACAAAGGGGAAAAAGTCAGAGAAAGCCAAGAACAAAACATTCATACCAAACACACCAAAGGCGAAATTGTCGAGTCACAAAATCTGGACAGAAATTAAAGTTATACTAAAAATCATAACAAATAACCATTTGGCCGCATTGGAGGCAGTCGGCCACTCTGTGCCTCTGCCACTATGTCTGTCGGTCTACGTGTCTGTGTGCGTTTGTGTGAAGAAGATTACGGTTGAGCTTTTTCCATTGCAGCATATAAGACAGAGAGTGGATCGTCCTTGGCAGGCGACAAGATGACTGGCAGGCCAGGCAAGTGCTGTTGCTACAATTTCACCTCAGATGTGCAGAGCAGATGTAGCATGCAATCCTCCTCCTCCTCATGCTTCTCCTCCTACTCCTCGTCGTCCTCCTCCTCCTCCTCCTCCTCCTCATCCTCATCATCCTTCTCCTGCTCCCGCTGCACTGCCCCACATTCTCCCCTCTGAATTGCCATCGTAACAGCCAGCATGTTATCCACCGTGAAGGCATTGACTCTGATGATGTGTAGACTTCGGCCTCTGGGCAAATGTGTTGCTTCTAATGTGCTGCTCGCCACCACGCATGAGTAGTCTGTCTCTCTAATATCGCCTCAGCCGACAGCGGACATTGTCATGTATGGCATTACTTGGAGACGTAGTAGTGTTACACAATCACCAATTTCATATTGCCATCTGTCCGCATTGGAGGCAGTCGGCCAGTCTGTGTCTCTGCCAGTATGTCTGTCAGGCTATGTGTCTGTGTGCGTTTGTGTGAAGATGCTTACGGTTGAGCTTTTTGCATTGCAGCATATGAGACAGAGAGTGGATCGTCCTTGGCAGGCGAGAAGATGACTGGCAGGCCAGGCAAGTGCTTTTGCTCGTATTTGACCTGAGATGTGCAGAGCAGCTGTAGCATGCCTTCGACCTCCCCCTCCTCCTCCTCCTCCTCCTCCTCCTGCTCCTGCTCCTGCACTGCCCCACATTCTCCCCTCAGAATTGCCATCGTAACAGCCGGCATGTTATCCACCGTGAAGGCATTGACTCTGATGATGGGTAGACTTCTGCCTCTGGGCAAATGTGTTGCTTCTAATGCTGCTCGCCACCACGCATGAGTAGTCTGTCTCTCTAATATCGCCTCAGCCGACAGCGGACATTGTCATGTATGGCATTACTTGGAGACGTAGTAGTGTTACAC